TGACCTTAATCTGCCCAGCTACTAAATTTCCAGAGGCGGTCCCGCTAAAAGAGCTAAGTTCCGTCGAAGTAGTGAACGCACTTCTGTCCGTGTTCGCCCGGGTAGGCTTTCCTGCCGAGATACAATACGACCAGGGCACCATTTTCACGAGTGCCTTAACGACAACCTTTCTAGAGCGGTGTGGCGTGAAATTATTGCATAGTTCAGTGTACCATCCGCAGTCGAACTCGATAGAAAAGCTTCACTCCGTGATGAAGCGAATGTTAAGAGCCTTATGTTTTGAACGAAAAACTGACTGGAAAATGTGCTTACCTGCAACGATGTTTGCACTAAGAACTGCACCACATGAGACAACAAGGTTTACGCAAGCGGAACTTGTTTACGGCCGCAGACTGCGGTCTCCTCTTCGTATGCTGAGAGAGTCGTGGGAAGGTCAGTGTGATGATCCTGTAGTAGTGGAATATGTCCTCACCTTATTGGATCGTCTAACAAAAGCCCAAGAACTGACCGAGAGTGCGATGACCAAAGCACAGCAGAAGGCTAAGCTTTACTACGATCGGACAGCTAAAGCGCGACACTTTGCTGTAGGAGACAGGGTCATGTTGTTGAGGCCCTCCCAAAAGAATAAGCTTGAAGTGCAATGGGTCGGCCCGGCCGAAATTACTCGAAAATTGTCTGACACCAACTATGTGGTAAAATTACCAGGAAGTCGTAAGGCACACCAGGTGTATCATAGCAACTTACTCAAACCCTACAAAGAGAGGGAAGCCATCGTGAACATGACTTTAAATGTTCCGGAAGAGGTTCCGGCAGAAATCCCTGAATTAGCTCCCGAATCGGACGAAGTCCCGATCGAGAAAAGAGTTGAGGATTTAGCATCAAAGTCACAACTGACAACGAAGCAGAAGCAGGAATTGCGTGGTCTTTTGACCGAGTTTCAGGACAGATTTGTAAGCGAGCCAGGCCGGACATCCGTCCTCACTCATGACATAGAGCTTACCTCGTCGGAACCGGTAAGATCTAAGACGTATCGGGTGTCACCCTCGCCGGCTTGAGCTAATAAAAGCAGAGGTTAACAGGATGCTGGAATTGGGCGTGATTGAGCCGTGTGAAAGTGATTACACTTCCCCGTTAATTCTTGTGGAGGTACCCGGCAAAGATCCGCGTCCTTGCGTAGACTATCGTAAGTTAAACCTCATCACCAAGGATCAGACATACCCAATTCCCCACATTGAGGAACGCGTCGAGAGGGTAAGCAGCGCGCAATTTATCTCAACGCTAGACCTAGTGAGAGGTTACTGGCAGGTGCCGCTCACCGAGAGGGCGAGCCGGTATGCTGCATTTATTTCACCATTGGGGACATTCCGCCCTAAAGTGTTGAGTTTCGGCCTAAAGAACGCGCCTTACTGTTTTTCAAACTTAATGGATAAGGTTTTGCGGGGTCAAGAGGACTTCACATTGCCTTACTTGGACGACGTCGCCGTGTTTTCCTCGTCCTGGCCAGAACACTTGGCGCATTTGAGAGCAGTACTGACACGCCTACGCGAAGCAGGTTTAACGGTAAAGGCGCCCAAGTGTCAGCTAGCACAAGCAGAGGTACTCTATCTCGGGCATGTTATCGGTCGAGGGCATCGCCGTCCCTCTGAAATGAAAGTGGCAGCTATCCGAGACTTTCCCCAGCCCCGAACGAAAACTGATATTCGGGCTTTTCTTGGAATAGCTGGTTACTATCGTAAGTACATCCCTAGATATTCCGACATTGCCAGCACTCTTACTGACGCGTTGCGCAAGACCGAGCCCCAAATGGTCGACTGGGATGAGGAGAAAGAAAAGGCTTTCCGCGTTTTGAAAGCGGCCTTGTCGAGCCAACCTTTGCTTAGTTCACCGGACTACTCGAGGCCTTTCATAGTCCAATGCGACGCTAGTGATAGAGGCATGGGGGCAGTTCTTAGTCAAAGGGATGAGGGGGATCAAGAGCATCCCGTCCTCTATGTTAGCCGGAAACTCACCCTTCGCGAGCAGGTTTACAGCGCTAGCGAAAAGGAATGTGCGTGCTTGGTTTGGGCAGTCCAGTAACTGGCTTGTTATATTGCCGGAAGCAAGTTCATTGTGGAAGTGGACCACTGTCCTCTCACCTGGCTACAGACCATGTCCTCTAAGAACGGCCGCCTGCTGCGTTGGAGCCTCGTTTTGCAACAATATACGTTTGAAATACGCTACAAAAAGGGTGTACTCCATGGCAACGCTGATGGCTTAAGTCGATGCCCCTGACGCGAGAGGATGTCTCGAGAACTCTGGCATTTTTTTTCCTGACCTAGACAAGAGCTAGTGATGGTTTTTCTACTCTTTTAGGTGTATTTGTTTGAAAACGTTGAAGACACGGCTATCCAGGGTTTCGGGTTCGGTGTGCTTCCAGTGTTGTTGTTTTGTGTCACCTTAAAGTGTGAGTAACATTTTGAATAAATTGTGTATTTCCTTTATTATCAGTTAAAGGGGAAAATTGCCTGGTGGAGTTTGGCGGAATTGTCCGGCGCTCACCGGCTGAGTAGTTGTGTTTTCATGTGCGTATGTGATGTCTGTTGAGCCCACAATGAAGCAGGTCTTGCCCTCTACTTCATCAAAGACAGTCGTCACCAAACCGACTGCCGGCGCTGATCTCTCCGGACAGTGGCTGCAAACCTCAGCCCATCGAGATCTTGTGCGCGCTTGCTAATGCAAGTTCCCTGCCATCGAGGGAGGCCTTTTCAATAATGTGTGGTTGTTTAGTTCTTCCGGTATCGCCGTATCATGGGAGCTAGTTCCTCCCAGCATTGTCGAAAGAGCTTCAAGAAACCGCGTCGAGCGCGGTTCGAGTGCGCTCGACGGAACCGAGGAAGATGAGCCTTGGGAGGGCGGTGGCAGCTGCCGCGACGATGATCCCCAATCAAACTTCGCGATCAGTGATCTCCACTAGACCGCGCGTGACTGGATCTGACTGGTAAAATTCGCGCCAATTTTTTCAAACTTAACAAGTACACTTCGTTCATGCTCCAATTTTTTTCTTCTTTTTTAGATGCATATACTGTGAGCGTTAGGACTGCGACACAATATTTCGTATGCGCTCGTGAAATCCCCGCGTAATTTGCGCATCTCATTCTCGGGGCCCCAAAATCGCGAAAAAAAGTGCGCAAATTATGTGAGTAAATACGGTATCCCGAATACTGCGAGCGAAGTGACAAAATTTCACGCTGCGACACGGTGCACTAAGACATAACTCGTACTTCATAAGGGCCACAAGATACAACGTAACGTTAGCAGCGCGTTGTTACTACAGAATGAAGCTACAAAATTCCTTGTGTAGGGTTCCCTGTTTGCACCCGACAAAAGATTTGGTAAAAAAAAAAAAGCTAATGTCAAAGCTCTTTAGGCATATCGCCTCCTACACATGAAAACTCCATTTTGGGGACCAAAAAGCCCCCACATTTCTTAAGGAGTGTGTGAGACCTCGCGGGACGGACTAGCACTCGTGTAACACGAGTATCGGAAAGATTGGTGATAAAGCAGCGTCGAACAGATTTAAGCAATTCTTGCGTTACAACATTCCCGCACATAGAAATAAAATAAACAGCGCAACATCTTCGTCCTCTATAAATCTTGCTTGCCTATTTGAAATCGTAAATTTATGATCAGATACTTCTTTTCTTGTACAGAGGCAGAGACATACATGGACATGCGCACAGGTTTGCGCCTGTTTGCGCATGTTTGTTTCGTCCGTTGTGCGAGAAATTTCCATGGAGTACCAACTTTAGCGCGAACCTACACTTCGTAAATATATATTGCGGACATCCTTGTTCTAAGCACACTCGTCAAATAGAAGCTGTACGTGCGCCTAATATGCTTTTACTTTTTCAATTACACCTTTGAGTACTATCAAATAAGAAGTATGCACTGTTCTGGTGATCATGATATTTCATTTACGCGCACACTAAACCTGCTAAGAATGCGTATACATTTACGTAGTCGCATTTAAGCCCATGACAAGTGTATATATATATATATATATATATAGTATATATATATATATATATATATATATATATATATATATAGGCAGGCATGGTGGTTGAGTGGCCATAGCGTTGCATATAGTCTAGTAGATCCTCCGTGAGCGGTCACCACGTTGTGACCGCTCACGGAGGATCTACTAGACCATATATATAATATATATATATATATATATATATATATATATATATATATATATATATATATATATATATAACGTGTTGGGTAAACGAAGCTATCATTACGATTACTGTGCTGCGTGCATGATGCAAGTAAATCATGACCTGGCTGAGAGTAACAGAAAACGCTGACCTACGGTATTCTCAAGTAGCACGTCTTGAATGGCACGTCTGGAATTTTGACATTTTCATTTCCTTTGAGTTTCGTTGTGTCGAGAGCTAATACCAATATATTTGCTGCTTTTAAGATACTTATTTATCACAGCTAACTACAAATCGCAATAATTCTAGCAAAAAAAAATGCACCATGTCAGCGTTACATGTGTGTGTACAACCATCTAGAAATATTTCATCGAAGCCTTCATATAATGATTAGGTTACCACCATTTTACAATCGTTCCTTACCACCGGAGGAACATTCGCATGGTTCATGTTCACGTTATGCATCGTGGTTATTTAGTGAAGTGGGTAAAAGATTCGGCTTCCAAATGTGTGGCACTGAATTCGAAGGCCAGCACAGCCAAGAGTATTTATTCTTGTTTCATACATTTATCAATAACGATTCGTGTCATGTAACGTATGGGCCGACGGACTGACACGCAATTTTGTCGTTCAGCCGGCACAAAACTCTTTACACGCTTAAGAATAGTCGTAGAGACTTGACATCGCAAAGTGCTAAGAGTCGAGCTTGGGTATTTCAATCGTATGTGAAGGAATATACCATATAATCGTATAGCCGCAACTTACAGCGATAAACGAAAAGCATGCAGCACTTACCGTAGACGTCGAGGGACGCTTCCTTTTTGTAGATGAACTCGCTGGCGTTCCGCGATAACGCGTAGCAGGCGTAACTACCAGCGTGTTCGAGAGTCGGACAGTTCAGCCGCAGCGTCCACACGGCAGACTTCTCCTCATCCTCGCCGGAAGAATCGACCTCGGAAGACGTCGCCTCGCCACTCGGCAAAGTTGTCGTGGCCTGCGGCGACGCAGTCGTGACGTTCTCGGCGTCTTCACCCGAGAAGACGTCGCCACCGGGCGTCGTCAGCGAGGTCGGCGGCTCGGTCCAGGTCTCGTTAGAAGACGACGTGGAGTTGTGCGCCAAGGTCGTCGAGTTGTGGGCCGACGCGTTGGACGGTGTGGTTGTCGCGCCCGGTGTCGCTGCGGTCGCCGGCGGTGTTGTGGCCGGCGGCGCGACGGAGGAGACCGCCCTGGCCTCGCGAGTTGGCGGCGGCTCGAGCACAACGTTCGGAAGCTTGGAGGCGTTCTCGCCGTGGAACGTCCACCAGACTTCGATGTTGGGACCCGCGGTGTCGAGGCGACAGCGGAGCACGGCCGCCGAGCAGTTCGACACCAGCGGCGGCTCCGCGACGTGCTCGAGTATGGACAGGCAACCTGCGCCACAAAAGAGAAACACCTTCAGACTCCGTGCCGCGATTTCGCGGTATAAGACGCCAATTCGCCATAATGAGAGCTATATAAGACAGGTATAGCGCCTATCTGGTCTGCATAAAGACCAGATTAATTCAACTCCCTCACCCATTGTTACAGCTGCCATACATAATCTTGGCCACAGCCATCAGCAGTTGGTACTGCCAGAGCTATAGGAGCTGCTGGCTTGGTTACCTTATCATAACCGATGGCCAACCGCCACCCACGACCCGCACAGCCGGTATGCGATAAGGACCAGCTGGACATTATTATGGTGGTCCACTCCGTGTAATCCACTCCCTGGTGTGCCATGCAGTCGCATGCCCAATCTGCTTTGTCTCGCATGACAGTCATGAGCGTTTAAATGATCTCAATTCGTTTTCTGCATTTGCGACTGCGCGAGTGCAGACAACACGGTATGGTCGAAAAGCGCGAAATCCTACCTGGCTCAACGCTTATTGCTGACATTCCACGTGTTTTACGAAGAGATAAATGGCGAGGAGGAGATAGAGTTTTTATAGGAATGGTAGTCAAGGTGGGAAAGAAACGACTGTCTCGCTTTTAAACTCAGTGTGGTTTAGGGGCCTCAAGGCTGTTCCAAGATGCAGGGAATGAAAGAGTGATGAGTTAGTGTTATGTTCCGAGATACACGGTATCATGAAAGAGTGATGACTTAGTGTTAAGCGTACGGCCGACAAAAAAAATCACAGCATATCCACGGAGTGAATAATGATGAGCGAGGCGAAGCGTCCCTCAGCCGATCCGTCTTCTGTCTGTCCGTGTGTTATTGCTTCCGTGCGTCCATCCGTGCGTCCATCCATCTGTTCATGCGTCTGTCCGTGAGTCCGTCCATCGATCTGTCTGTCTGTTCGTGCGTCTATCCATACATCCGTCCGTCTGCTAATCTGTCTGTCCATCAATCCGCGCGTCCATCCAGTGAACACTAAGTACCGCTATCTCCCATCTCGCATCCGCTACGGCACATACGCGCTCTAGAGCGGGTATGTGCCACCGGTGGTTACGTACTACTACATATATGCATACAAGGAATGGACATACTCATGCCTTAAGGAGCTTCGCCCCTAAAAAAAGAAAGCTGCTAACCAATGTGAGTTCTGGTTCAAGACAGTGTGCACAGATCTGCATGCCTATAAGGTCGCGCGTGCTACCGAGCGCATGACGTCACTGACTCCGCAACAGCCGTAACCTGTCCCCCCCCCCCCCCCCCCCCCGCAGAGCTCAGCTTGCTGCCTGCGCGCTCCACACAGACGTGGACGGCGTTGTTGAATGCATACGTTCATACTAGACAGACAGAAAAAAAAGAACTGGAAGATAATAATTTTAATTGGGCCCATAAGTTGCATTTACTTCCAGTGGCGTAACTCCAGAAACGCCCCGAAGGGGGACACATATCACACCATGGTAGCCATTTTGTTTTTAGACATGCGGTTTGTATTATTTACGCAAGAATTAAATCACAATTTGAAATAAAACTTTAAAAATGCGCATGGGATTCCAGCTCGAGCAATTCCATCAAATCTACTGCAAAATTAGTCCACTACAACATTGCAATCCTCTTTGCAATATTATATTGCGCCTAATATATGTATTCACCGATGATCAGCATCCACGTAACTTGAAATATTTCATTAATATATGTATCTGCATTTGTATTCCGGAATATTTTTTTTCATATTTTTGCGAAATATCTTCGCAATATCACGTTACGTCATTCACGAATGTATCTCGGTATCAGTATTTTAGACTTCCCGCACGTGCATTTTGATATCTGTATTCCGGAATACTTTCCTGAACATCTCTGCCCAGCCCTACACACAAATACGTCTCTCGGCTTTCGGTAAAATCTCCCGGTTATCCCGGCCAGTTAGGCTCTCAATGTAGACTCCTTTAGAATACAAAATCACGGCATATTAACGAAGTGAATGATGATGAGTGGGCGAAGCAGTGGGATCCCTCGGCGTTACTGTAAATCACTCGTGGCGCTGACTCCTCACGCTCATAAAGAGTTCCAAGCTGTGTACAGTAATTTACATTGTTTATTGGTGATAACTGGTATGTTATGTTGTCGTGAATTTCGTTTTGTCTGCATTATTACTGCTTAGTGGCATCGGATCCAGGAGGAAGTTGGCAAAGAGTTAGGTCTGGGCACGTTTCCCTGGTGGTTATCGGTTGTTTCCAGTCATACGAAATGCATCGTAGATAGAGCACATCAAGGGGCACACTACTGCACAAGCCAGTCGTTGTCCGTGATCATCATCGTCGTCAGCGTGATCACGTATACTGGGTACCTTGCGTGTGCTGTGCCACGATGGCAGAATATGGACGTGTGGTCTTGAACGCGCTCATTTTTCATCGTCATCAGCTTCATCGTCAGTGGGGGCTACGGCATACAACGCCAACGCCAGACAACGGACAAGCCTTGATTTTGAGGAACTTCGCCCATAACATCACATTCCATCTTCCAGCACGACGACGGTTTTCTTGCGGGCATGCGAGTGCACATGCAGCGCTCGAGAGCACGTTTGAATCCTCGATTTGGGTGTTTTCCCCTTCGATGCTTGATGAAGTGCGTGGCTAGGCTTGTCGGCGTCTCCTCTCGGCACTGTACGCTATGTTTGCCATAATGGGTGAATCCCACAACACGCCACCGGTCCTCAAAAAATGAAGGCAAGACGTAGGCCAACAAATAGCCGATGACGTTAGTGGAGCTGAAACACCCTTACCTTGTAGAGGAGGAGGAGGAGGAGGAGGAGAAGAAGAAGAAGAAGAAGAAGAAGAAGAAGAAGAAGAAGAAGAAGAAGAAGAAGAAGAAGAAGAAGAAGAAGAAGAAGAAGAAGAAGAAGAAGAAGAAGAAGAAGAAGAAGAAGAAGAAGAAGAAGAGAAGAAGAACCATAGTGTACGATGCATTCCAACTGACGTTTTGACGACGTTAGTGGAGCGGAAACATCCTTCCCAACAGGTCCTGTTTCAGGCTTGGCGCAACTAGTGCCTCATCAAAGAAATATCTATATCTCACAACACTGCATGCTACGCTCTTCCCCGAAATTCACGTTAGGAGAGCTGAAACACCCTTTCCTACACGCTTCGCCCCTCCCTAGTTTTTTTCTCTCTTCGCAGGAAAGAAAACAGGCCTTAGATCTACTTTGTCGTTCTCTTTTACAATGCCTTTTTACTCTAATAATGAACTGCATTGCAAAGACGGCTTTAACGAAGGTCCAACGAGTCGCTAAGTCAACCAGAGAGGACGAAAATTTCCGTCTGCCTCCCTTCCGCGTGAATGAGGCCCTCAACGCGACGACTTCTCGTCGCAGACCCCGGGGGGCGTGTCGGGACAGATTCTCTCGGCTCTCATCTTTCACTGTTCCGTCGTCGAAGCGGCAGCATTTGGCAGATGCCTTCGGGCTCCAGGATGTGTCCAGCGGCGTAATCGGGCCGCTGCTGCCCAGACGTCGTAATTAATGAGGACCGCCCGCGCGGCTGCCGTCCGCTTCGACGCAATCGAAGCGCGCCGCGCCTGAATGCATAATCCGACCGCCGCAGCGCTCGGAAATAAGCACGCAGCGACAAATGGGTCTCGGGGCATTACAGACGCCTCTACGCATCGCAGGCGCGGGGCGCGGGGCGCGCGCGTCTTCCTGCAGGCACAATCGGTGCTCCTTCGTCCGTAAGCGTTTAGAGAAAGGGCCCAGTACAAGGCAAAGCAATCGAAATGCGTAGCCTGCGGCCAGACTGCTCGCCAGTTGGATACGAGGAAAAAGTTAAAGCACTTCACTGCCTAAGTTACATGCAGTGCAGATAATGTTGATCGTTCAATCAATCAATCAATCAATCAATCAATCAATCAATCAATCAATCAACCAATGAATCAATAAGTTTCCACCTAAATCTCATTCTAAAGAGTTTTGTAAGCTTAAATGGGAAAAGAAAGCCCTTTTGTTAAAATCCTCTAAAGTACCTGTCATCTTTTACAAATGCGGAGCAGTGAGCCGGGCAACATCAGAGCAGCACGAAATGAATTAGGTGAAACGGACTGAACGACGCAGTCAACAAAAGTCAAAATGGCGGCAGTTTTGCGTTCGTCCTTCTACACCCTCACTGGTAATGCCTTCAGGCTTTCATTCTCTAGCAACAGTACGACAGTTGTTCGCAAGCACTCGCTAACACCTGTTTAACACAATCAATACGAGTAAGTTATAACCCATCATTTTCTGAATGTACGGGCGCGCTTAAGCGCATACCAGAAGCGCAGGTATTTCGTGTGCCCGTCCGTTCTTGCATGCGTCCATGCGTCAGATCGCGTTCGAGAATGCAGACGGCGCGCGGAAAACACCGACGAGACGTAAGCCAAGGAAGCCGACCGCAAGCGTCTTCAACGCGCCCACGGCTCTGCTTCGTCCATGCCCCACCAACGATCAGCCACGTACTGCGACTATCCAGGAAACTGAGAGAGGCACTCGTTCTCCGCGTACTCAGGCCAAGCGCGCGTAGCAGCCAGTCAGAGAGTAGTGGCACTTCGGAAAGAAGCGGCAGAGCAACCCCATCTAAGAAATAAGACGACAAGTGGTCATCTATTTCTTTTGCCTTCTTTTCCATCTCGTCTCTTCTTTAGTCACGCGTGACAAGGTTAGACTAAGCGGAGCTTCACCCCTAAAAAAGCCGCCCACGCTCGGCGCCCAGCTCATCGCGATGCGCCAACGCGCGCTTATCTCCCACGCGTTATTTGCCGCGCGGATGGAGGCGGGGAAGGGGGGTTAGGTGCTTGTGCGCGCGTGCTTATGCTTCGGCGGGGACAATCGCGTGCCTCGGCCTTTCACCGGACGATTGCGTTAGTTGCCTGGGGTACAAAGGTGACTTCGTTCGCTGGGCAGGCCCTGCTAGCCGTTCTCAGCGTTACATGCCATGTTGTTGCTATCGCATTCATTGCTTCGTCCCTTGCAGCGAAACTGACATTTTGTATACGCGCTGGTACAAATAACAGGAATGAGATACGCGACTGTCGATAGCATGAACACAATTATTCTCCATTATTTCTACGAAAGTTACACTCATCATGGTCATGGAGTGGCGTAAAGCGAACGTTCCGTAACTAGA